CCCCCCCCCCCCCCCGCTTACTGGGCTTTTCTCTTTAAATCAGGCAAAGTTAAAGGAAGCCCATCTGAATAATACAGGAAAGGCTGTCGGGGGTGACATCCCTTTTTAAGGGGACCCCCTACTTTCCCCTTCCATCTGCTAAGGGGAAGCCCCCTTTTTAAGCACAACTTACTGGTGGATTCATACGGGCTGTGGACGTTTTCCAAGTGGCACTGCAGCTGGAACGGAGTGGTGAACTGTCGGTAACAGTGCTGACAGATGGTGTGGACGTCAACCTCTCCGTTCTGCTGATCCAGTTCAACGTGGTGCTTCATGTGATTCATAAACCTACAGACGAGGAGTGGGTCATGCCTGTTTTGCTGACAGTAGGGAGCCCCTGAGTCTGACAGCAAGACGAGGTTTCAAGGGCTCCCCCAAAAGACACACGCCTGCTCTGGATCTGTGGCCACCACCCAGTTTAGTCCACGGAAGCACACACCCGAGGGAAAAGCTAAGTAGCGTCAGATTCAGATTTTTTTATATAGATAAAATAGGATCTTTCCTCTGACAATGGTCCAAACCCTCTGAACTTTTGTCTGGTCATACACAGAAGCGGCTTCTTTAAAAGTCTTAAGCAGAAAACTGGAGTTGTTTATTTTCACTAACTCCAAATGAAGATGTAGAGCAACCCTGATCTAAATAACTCCCAAGCTTTTAAAAATACGTCCCTTAATTCTGGAGGAGAGGACGCTGCCCCAAGGGGTTTGGACTGCTGGCCAGGAGGTGAGGCAGCTCTCTCTCTCGCCCCCTGCTCCCTAACCCCCCGACTATCACTGTGATTACCGTATGTTATTCTTGAGCCTCTTTGTACAGTGAGGGCAGCGGAAGGACGTTGGCACCTTGGGGAAGTTGAGCAGCTGGTTCACTTTGCCCCCATCCCTGCCATAATAGAAGTCATCGACCAGCATGATCAGCTTGCTCTGCACTCCCTCGCTGGTGCCGTCACTTGGCTCGGAGAGTTTGGCTGGCGGTGACAGGGCAGGGATGGGGGTGGAGGAGGGTGGCGAAGCAACGGCGGCGGTTTTCTCTGGGGAAGGGGGCTTGGGGGCTTGGATATTTGGTTCTGACTCCAGGGGCTTCCCTTTCTTCAGGAATTCCACCATTTCAGGGCAGCAGTACTGTGGGGAGGAGAAGAGAAGAACAACAAAACCCTTGCGTAAGCTCTAGCCGCTCTCGAAAGACAGGTCATCCGAAGGAGGCCTTCTCCCCTCTCCGCTGGTTCTGGTCTGGCAGTCTGGCTTCACCCTGGAGGGCCAAAGGGACAGGCTGCTGTGCAAACAGGTCTTAGATGAAAAGAGATCAGAATGGCTCTCATGGCCAAAGCCACAGAGAAACCAAACAATGCCATTTCTGCAACAGGAACGGCTTCTCTATGTACAGGGACTCTTGGGGATGAAAATCTGCAGTAGACTTGACCAATTCAATGGATATTTACCCCTGCACCTTGCTTCCAAACCCTCCTCTCAGAACTGTTAGCTTAGGGTGCCTTGTCCCCATAGCATCCAGTCAAAGAAACTGGATGAAACAATAGGCCTTTCCTTGTCACGAGCATCTAATGTTCAAAGATAGGCAAGTTCAGCCTCACAGATTTCACCTAGCCAAGGGCAGCCATGAACTTGTTGACTCGCCTTTCCCAGCATCCTGGGGCCGCAAAGGCTGTGAAGGAATATCCACTGTGCAAAAAAGCAAGTTCTCTAGTGAGATTTCTCTTGGTCTGCCCCCAAACTTGAGTTTCTGAGGCCAACCAGTGGGTGATGTTCTCCCTGGGTGGTTGTATTCCAGAAACAGGCATTTACCCAACCTGGAGAACACAGCTATTGGTGGTTCTTCCCTCAGCTACCATCTCACGGCTGACCCCCACGAGCAGAACAGATTACTTACACACATATGGCCTCTTAAAGCTTCAGTGACTCTAAATTGGGCATTGCAGCGAGGACAGGCCTTCCGTCCACTGTCTTGCAAGTCAAAGGTGGGGATAGGCGAGGAACTGACTGTGAACGGCAACAGAAAAAGAATCAGGGAGAGAAAGGGGTCCCAGGTGAAAGTCCCAAACTCTCTGAGGCTCCTGCCAACACCTCACTGGAACTGGTCAAAAAGATTATTTCTTCTTTTTCTGCAATTTCTTTCCAGTGGGGGGGCAGGGGGAGGCAGACACACCCTTTCCCCAAATAATAGTGCCCTCGGTGCCCTCCCCAAATTCCTCCAAAGGTTTGAGTTAGAAGAGCGTACCTTTCTGTGAGGAAGACTCAGAGATGCCCGTCCTCTGTGAACCATGTGCCTGGCTGTTGTTTGGCACCACAAGGGGGCCCGAGCTCTGAGCAAGCGAAGGAACTGTGTTCAGGGTATTCACCAACTTTGCCACCTCGTTGCTGTTCTCACCCGTCACCCCGGGCTTTTTCACTGTGACAAAACTCGCAATACTCACTGCCAGGAAAACAAGCAAAGAAGCCCGTCGTTTTCATTCTAACGTGGAAGAGGAGGAGTCAAAGCATGAAAACTTGATTATGGAGACAGGTTGCGCTGGGAGGCTTCGAGGGGCGAAGCAGGAAGCAGAAAAATTAGTTTCCCCTTTGGAAAGACAGAACTAAGATGCTCTTGTGCAGAAATAAAACCTGCATGTTTCTTTCAAGGCCGGGGGGAGGGGGGGAAGGGAGAGGCTAAGTGGAATAACAGAGGGTGCACATGCAGGAAGTTCCAGTGGACAGGCCAGGGAGCCAATCTCTCTGCCTGGGGCTCCAGAAAGCCAGTCAGGCAGAACCAGACATCTGCAACAGGACGCTCTACAGATGAATTCAAACTGCTAACTGGCTGGGGAATTCTGGAAGTTGAAGTCCACACATCTTCAAGCTGCCAAGGTTGAGAAACACTGCTCTAGAACAGACGTGGAGCAGGTGACAAGATAGCCCTTTGTCAAATGTTATTTCCCTTGCCCAATGGGACAGTCTTACCTCATTTGGGGTTAGTAGCTTGAGTGGACTGCCCGGGCTGTTGTACAGTTAACTGTCCCAGCGCAGCTGGCTGCACTGAAGGAGTAGAGGAGGAGGAAGAGGTGCCGAGGGAGGACTTACTTTGCGATTGCGCTTGGGACTGTGGAACCGTGCTCCGGATGGTCAGGGTGGCCGGAATGACCGTAGTGAAAGTGTTGGAGGCTGGTCGGACTGGCATGGTTGGAGCAGGTCTCACCTGGGCCATTTGGGAGAAAACCTGAGGGACACCGACGGTGGGTTTCACAAACTGCGTGCCCGGGGCTGAAGAAAGGGAGGAGAGGGGAGAAAAGGGGTTGATAGTTGCTGACGCCCTTTGGGAAACTCTGGAGAGGAGGTCTGCGAAACGCAGAGGCACAGAAGCCCCTGTGTTTTAAACCCGGCGAAGCTGGAATTGAGGGGAGCCGACTTGGGTCATCTGCAAAGCCACACCCTCCCGGCCTAGACTTTGTGCCCAAACAGATCAATTTTGCTGGGCTCTGCTTATCAACCTGCTTCCCGACTCCGCACCCCAACTCTGACAGGCTTCCCTCTCTGCCTTACCTGGGACAAGGGTAATCGGCCGTACCGTCTGGCCTTGCTGTACATTCAGGACAATCCCAACCTGATTCATCGTGTTTTGCACAGGGCGGACGTTCCGCACAGGGAAACCCTTTCTCGGACAAGCAAAAGAAGCAGCTTTAGTGGCTTTTCTCAACCACAGGCCACTGCAAAGACGGCCGGGTTGGCTGGCATGTTCTGATCTCGCCAGAGGCAACCATTCAGCGCTAGCCCAATTTCTAAAAGGAGATCAAATTTCTGGGACTCTTTGTATCATTTAATTATAGCCCATCTTCTGGCTGCGAAGACACACCTGAATGATGTGGACAGAGGGTGCTCACTGTTCAAGCTGCGTTCCTTAAACTGCTCTGCCTGGCACAAAGCCAAAGCAAATTGCACAAAAGTCATCATGCTAATTGTGTACTGTCTCCAGGTCATAACAGACCAAAAACGGCTACCTTGTAGCCATTTCAAAGCTAAATATAAATAAAGTGTTGAAAAACAAAGCACCATGCTAGCTTTACAGGTTTCTTTAAAAAAAAAAAAACATTCATGCTGGTTGATCAGCCAACGATTACCCCCAGCACCTCTGTCTGGAGAGGCGTCCAGGTGGGCGGGTGACTGCTGGAATACCAAGGCCCCCTTCTGTCAACAGGTGATGCTCTTCCTGTTCTCCGAGCCTTTTAAACAATGACTTTCACCCACAGCTTTTACTGACCTGCTAGGTGGGTTTTTAAATCATTTTAGATTGTGTTCCAGTGCCAGGGGATTTTGGACAGCCTACATCTTTGCCTTATAACACACTGGTGGTCTTATAAGGAGCTGCTGTCAGCCTGCCCCAGGTCTAAGTAAGTTTTGAGTTTGACGGTCAATTAGCCATCTCCTGCAAAATATCCAGAAGCTGGTAAAGAAGCGTAATATCTTTTGATACCAAGGCGTACAATATAGAAAACCTATCCCAATTCTTTCCTCCCAGAAGGAAAAATGAAGTGCTTCTGAATCCGGATTATGTATCAGGACGACCAGCTCCTTCTTTTAAAATGCTAAATAGTCTGGGCCCAGACCCAAAGAGCCATCTTCCTCTAAAACGAGCTCCTAAAAGGCAGAGGTCTTTCTACCTGCCCCTTGCCACTGAGGACAATTCTGTGAGTGCACACAATTATGGAGTTCCCTGTCCCCAGGAGATCTCCCCAGCGTCCCTGTTAGTTTTCATTTTGTGGTGTTTAATCTATCAGATTCGTTTTCTGCCCTTCAACCCTTTCCTTTCTTAACGTGCACCCTGAAGCTGCCCCAGGGATTCATTTATTTTAGTCATTTAATCAGTTTTTGGCCGTCTTCCCTGGTACTGGCATCCTTAACCCCGTTAGGCTTCTGCCTGTGAAAAGGGACCCACTTAAGTCAGATGAACTAAAGCAGTGTTGTCCAAACTTGGCCACTTTAAGATGAGTGGACTTCAACTCCCAGAATTCCCCAGCCAGCAATGCTCATCTTAAAGTGGCCAAGTTTGGACAACACTGAACTAAAGGAACCAGGAACATCCACGGACCGGGACCAAACACCCCCTCACCTGAGTTGTGATGAAGATGGGTTGGCTAGTCACTGGAGAATTGGTCACGTGGTTTGCATTCTGCATGACCTGGACAGGCCGGAGGACGGGCTGCGTCACCACCGTGCTTAGGCCAGAGGCGGGATTCTGAGCGAGGATCAGGGGCTGCCCCCCTTGCTGAACGAGAGGCGTGCCAGCTGGAAAAGAGGAGAGGGTTGTTACTTGCTAGGGGCTAACGGCAAAGCTGCCCTCCTAGAGCTAAGACTTCTCCAAGCAGGCGCCTTCCGATTCTGCCACACCGGCTGGGGACTTTGGGAAGCCCCATCGGGCCCATCTAGAAGCGGAGCAGGGTTACGCTAGTTCCTATTCTTCACACACACGCACACACAGAGTGACACAGTGCACTTTACACCGTTTGCTTCATACCATTTGTAAGAGGAGGGGGCAGGCTTTGGAGATGGTCTAAATATTTCTGGCAGGCATCAAACCCTGGAGTTCGTACAGGCGAAGGATTCAAACATGCAACGTGAACAAGCAGGACTGCACAGGAGAGCCCAGCTTTCTTCTCTCTAAGAAACGGGGTATTTGCACTACTATCCTCTGAGCTGGTGCCCATCCCAAAGTTACTGATAGGGCACAGACAGAGCATGTGAAATGGCCTCCTCGGTTCAGCTCTGGAACTCTCCATTTCAGCACCCCAGGGAAAAGAGGTGAAAGGATGCAATTTTTCCAACTTTTTTCCCTTAAACCGTCGGGGTACTTCTAAGGGACAGAAACCTCATTTTTGCATCAAGGTGGCGCCAGACACCTGAAACCAGGAAAAAGCTCCTCTATCAGCTCCCCTGGATGTCCCCAAGACCCTCAGGATCCTTACTGCTATTGTTTGCAAAGAGAGTCACCAGCGTCTTCTTTGTGCTGTCGCTGTTGGGTGCTCCGCTGCTGCTAACGGGCGTGGGGAGGCCACTGCCGATGGACGCGTGGGCAACGATCGGCACTGGGGTGGCCACTGGCTGCACGCTGACTGAAACTGTCAAGGAGGAAACTCAGGATGGTTATTCGGTCTCCTGCAATCATAACCAGGTTTTCACTGTCCCCTGGAGAGCGGCCAGGTCTAAAGGGTGGGGGCACCTCTAGAAACGGGTTGAGGAGGGAACACGGCCCCGGCTGATAATTCAGAATCACCTGCAGACAATCACCCAAAGCAGCTTTAGCAAAAGGGTCTGCCCTGTCTTTTGGAGGTCACCAATGACTGATGGATAGACTAGCAACTTTGGTAGACTTGCTTGGCAAGGCTTTCTTAAGTCTTCTGCCATGGGCTGTGAGCTAGGCTGACCAAGCTGTCCCTGGACTGGTTGATATAAAAAGTAGATGAGAGGCCAACCCAGTGGACGGGTTGTACCAATTAGACAGAAGATGGGGGAACTCCTTCATATATTGTCTTCATAGAAAGTGAGCAGGTTAGGGAGAAGCTTCCTCCCTTTCCCCCAATGTATTAACAGGGACAGACAGCAATTATTATTTTTAAAAAGTTCAGTTAATCACACATATGCCTTCCTCGCAGACAGAAAATCAGGGGAAAGAAATCTGCTTAACTTTACCCTTCACACGCTCTTCTTCTATGTGCAAGGGTGAGCTTTTCTTTGGCAGAGAAACATTCAGTGCTATGGTTCTCCCACATGCAAAGATGATCCTTGCTATAAAGAATCTCGGCATAAGAACAATACACGTATCACGGCTGCGGGGGAAGGATTTTCACCTACCTATCCTGAAGCACTGCCAGGCATCACAGCCAGCTGATCAGAGGAGAACAAGCTGGCTCTCTGCTGGCTCTCCTGGTTACCCAGGTTTTTGCAGGCCAGATTGGCAATCCTATTCTAGAAAGAACTCTTCTGCATTAAATTGTAGCCAAGGCTGTTCTTGATATCTGCCAGAAGGCAGGGAAGGAGCAAATGCGAACAGCCAGCCAAGAAGAGGAAGACAAACTATTAAATATGTCAATCTGTTACACCCACGAGGATAATAATAGCCGGGGAAGGATTTATGTGGAGATTTTTTTCCCCTCTTTGTGCATGTGACTGAAGAATATGGGATTATTCAAAACAGAAAAGCAGTCCATGCGATTTCAGACCAGCCCTCCGTGACGTGGTACCCTCCCAATGTGGGTGCTGCTTGGGCCCCAAGGCAGATGCGATGCAACCCATCAGGAGGAGGGAAAGGCAGGTTGAGGGAGGCTTAGTTCACGAAAGGGGCTGGAGTCTGTGCTCCGTCAAACATCATGGGTCTTAACCAGAGCAGCTCTTGCTATGAACAGACTGACAACTTAACAGGTCTGCCTCTGATCTCCTTGGGGGCTCTGTCTGTGCCCTCTGAAAATGCCAAGGTGCAGCTAAAAAAATTAAGTAGCAATCTATCTGTTCCGCAGGGAAGACTACAACTTGCCACTGCAATCATCTGCTGAAATGGAAGTGTTCAGTAACATAATGCAGAAATAGGCTTAGGAAGAGGAGCATCACCTGTAGCAGTTTTGTCAACTGAGTTGTAATCTTCAACCACAGAATCCTCAATCACATCACTGATCTTCTGCCACGGCTCCAGCTCCTCCTCTTCGCATTCCATAAACAGGTCCGTGTCTGCCATCTTGAGGGGGAAGGGGGAAAGAGGAGGTCATCTTCCGGACAAAGGAAGAGAGGGAACTCAGCTGAGGGAGGGAGAAGTCCATCTAAGGTGGGGGGGCACAACTTTGGCAAGGGGCTTCTTTTGAAAGACATGGTAGGAATCACCCTCCAAAAAGAGATCAAGGCAAGACAAAAGCTACGTGCCACTTTACTAGCGTTAAGCAAATCTAGTTGAATATGTTGTGTGTATGTTCTGTCAGGCACGTATAATCCTTGTCAACTGACACATCAAAGATTCTAGGTTGGCGATCTCAGAAAATCACATTCGGAGATTCAGAGGCCTCGGGCTGGACGTGTCTGATCTTAATGCAATCATTTCCGAACCTTCTTCCTCAGTAGAACCCTCTGCACACTCAGGGAATCCCCTAATTTTCAGGCAACCTGACCTGCCAAATACCATCCAAACTTTCATAAATGACAATAGGCTTTTTGCTTCAAAGAGGATAAATGCCTTAGTTCCATTTCATCATTTTGCAGTATGTACCACCTTATCATTTCATAGCACAGAGATCTGATGTGTTTTTATTTATGTATTTGTTCATCATGTTTATATGGCTGCCCATCTCAGAAAAAGTGACTCTTTTTGGAATTAGAAGCCCCAGATCTGATGACAGATCAAGTTATCCATTTCACTATTATTCTATTTGTATACATTTTTGGGGTAGATTATAAATATTTTTAACGTAAACCACTTCTAATGAAAACCAAATCAGCCCGGAAATCAAACACATGTTCAAAATCCCGTTCCATCTTCCCATTATAGAGCAAAATCGATACCATCCTTGCACTTGTCCATCATTTCACTCATCCCCATACTAGCCAGAATTGTGAAGAATTCTGGATTGGGAAGACACACTCATCCTGATCTATACTGAAGTCACCCCTGCTTGCTCCAAAAAGATGCCAGGTTGCATCTACAATAAGTTCTGTTTTGATTTTAATTGTTGATTCCAGCTTGTTCGAGAAAGCAAGATGAAAGGACCCTCATTTGGACCTAATGTTAAAAACCAACACAACATTCCTGTATCTTTAGTCCTTCCTGCTCATTTTGAAACAAAACAGAAAAGGAAATCTAGCATTGCAAAACTTTCCATATTACCTTCATCTTCATTAAATCTTTAGGCACCACACTAAAAGCTTTACTGTGCAATTAGCTGTGCATTTATCCATCATGACAAATGAATTACATATAGGTGGAAGAGCTGTTAGAGGGAACCAGCTATTTTTTTAAAAAAGGAGATTTTGCCATTTCAGTATGACAGTATGCATCTCCAAATTTTAAAATAAACACAAATAAATGGTATACCACTGCTGTCAATAGTATGGAAACACAAAACTGTAACCAGTCCATTCAACTAAGAATCCTTTTACGATTCCATCCTGTTCTTTCTTCAAAAGCTCCCACTGTGGATATTGGGGGGGATATCAAGGCTTCTCTGCTCAATAAAATGATTTAATCCCTGTGATAAATATGCTAACATTTAGTTTTCCGCTACACTGATGACAGATGCTCACTCACAAAAGCAGGCCGAGAATGTGCTAAATATATTACACCATTTATTTAAAACACATACAGAAAGAAAATGGAACATATTGGAGGGTAGTACTCATATTAAAACAGACTTCTGCGAGTGCTGAAAAGCCGGTCTATTTAATTAATTCACCATCTTACAAACGCAAAGGCCATTTGCTTTATAGAGCAAATCCAGGATTGTTTCCTTCTTGCTTAGGGAAGAATCAACCACCGTTGTGCCATGAAAAGCTACACCAAAATGTCAAGTGCAAACAAGGTTTTGCAGAGCCCCAGTACAGCCTCTGCCAATCTAGGGCTACCATGCTAAAGAAAAGAGACAACCCTCAGCAGGAGGGAGGGCAGAATCTCTGAGCCACGGGCCAAAGGAGAAGGTGCAAAGCACCTTTCATTCTGCTTTCTTGCAGATGCAAGGAGTAGGTTTGCGTGCTGTTTCAGAAAAGGGTTGGAAAAACAAGAGACTCTGGAATACAAGGTGCATTTCCAAAGTTCACTGTGCACAGGCTAAATTGTGAGCCTCAGTCATCAAAACTTTAGGAGCTCTTGGAAAGGCCAATCAACCTCCAGTCCCCCAGATCTTCATTTCTCAGTGAGCGAAGCCTCACAAGGCCTAGCACAACAGACCCAGCAGGCAAGTAAATAGTATTTCACCTGGTCAAGCAAACCAGTTAGTGGGAGATGAAGCACCATATCCGCCCTCTGCCAACTTCCAAAAGTAGCTACTGTGAGAATAACCAATGATGAGACCCAGAGCCTGGATTTTGTTTCCCCCCTGCCCGTTTCCCTCCATGGTGTATTTTTTAAACTGAAAAGCTGCATTTGCTTTCATTGCGCTGGAAGTTCTCTGGGAACCTTTCAATGACTTCAGAATTTACCTCCAGGGATTGTTCCGGAAGAACCCTTAAAGTAACACACTTGGGAAATAAAGCAGGCTCTGCCCAAGAGTGGATTTGCACTGTTTTGCCCAGAGAACACCATTTCTTGCTCGTCTTCTTTCTCTCCAAGATGCTCAAAATGGAACCTGGAACATTCTGCACTTTCACAGAAGAACACTCCCTCTGCATCTCTCTTCTCCTAACCATGTAGTTGAGAAATCACACAAAATTTATTCAAATACATCGGCAAAATAGGAGAGGCGTTCCCTGTTTTATACATGCTATTGCTTCCTGCCAGAAGACCTAGATCTATTCTCCTCTCAACTAGCAGATTAAGGTTGACCATTTGGGACTTAGCCAGAATAAAGTTTATCTGGAAATGGTTTTCCTTCACCATTGATGTTCAGATGCTTGTCTGTTTAAAAGTGTAATTACATTATCAAAATTGTAACTGAACTCAACATATATTATTTCCCTGTTGGCTTTTGCTTTTACTATTGTACTTTTAGAATTACAAGGGGAGAAACTTATCTTCTTGTTCAGAAATACATCACATCTTTTTGTCTCTATTTCTTTTCCTTCCTTCTGCTATCTCCCCTCTGTTGAATTTTGAAGTCCATTACAGCTAGTCCAATTTCTCTCCCACTTAGCACAGGACCTTGTCTAACAATTGCACTGTAAACAAGTAAGGAATTGACGTTTCTATGTCGTCAGCTCTCTAAAAGAATGCACTTAATAAACTCCACTTGCCTTAGGCCTCACAACAGTCAGGGGTTGGTAAGGATACACATCTGAACCACAGAAATTTAGGCACAACATGAAAGGCCTTTGCTTCAACAGCAGCTCAGAGCAACAGGGAAAGAGGGCCAACCTGCTATTGAAATATCCTACCCTAGATCCTAAGTGCCATACAAAGAGCTTACCCAACCTTAACCACAGAGCCAACTGCTTTTGATTGTTTGTAAAGCAACTCAGAAATAAACATTTAAATTTTGCAGGCCAACCGACAAACATTAGCTAGAAATCCATTATAAAATCCCATAAACTTTAATAGCAACATGCAACTGTTCTAACTTTTTGTTTCTTTCTATCTTTCCCCCTAACCTTTCTTATTTTCTTAAACAGAAATATAAGATAAAGTAGAAAATCTGGAGTGATCTAGTTGTGTAACTGATTACTCATTAGATAAAGTTACAATGTAAATTATAGAGGGTGACCTTACTGAACAGCTAGAACAGACAAAAAGCTTGTGACATCTTAAATGTTAATATTAACAGAAAATGTATTTTGTGAATTAGAGACCACTCTGCCAGATCTGACAGAGGGACGTGTAATCACTCAAGGTTTAATCCACACACAAACCTAGACATGTTCAAATACGAAAGACCTCTGCTGGTTTAAACTTAACTGGAGCTTACTTTTAGCAAAATTAGTGACCAGGAAGCCATTGCTGGTTACTTAAAGCTGAAGAAAATGCAAGAGTCATATTGCCTAGAAATCTGATTTCAGCATCTTGCCCAAGAGCATTCAGGAATATTATAAGTATACAGAAATTCTCCTATTTATCCATACCAATCATCAAGCACTCACAAAAATAAAGTCTTTTTCTTAAAACAATTTTATACAGTCCAGTTAAAATTCTAGAGGGATCCAAACTAGATGGTTCTCGATAACAGTAACACAGGTTTGGGTTACGTTTCTCAAAGCAAAGACCCAAGGAGTTTCCATCAAGTTCGGTTATAGGCCATGCTGGTCTTACATCGCTTTCCAATTCAAAAGCTGAAGTCTCTTAGATGGAGCTTCAGGGTTAAGTCTCATAACACCTGTCAGAAGACTTGTGAAATGGGTGTAGAAGAAACTGTCACATAGTAAACTGTTGAAAACACAGAAATACTAACTAGAGACTGCTAAGACACTACATTGTGTAAAAAACTAATACAGTACCACATTCTTATCCATGATTATTTACTACACATTTATTACATGATTATTTACTACAAATCCCTACTAGATTCAGGATAAATTGGGTTCTACCAAGATGAATTCTGAGTCTGGTGCCATTCTAAAGCTATGCTATCTAAAAAAAAAAAAATACTCAACAGAACAAAAATCCAGAAGCATAGGAGTAAACACAATCATTTCTGAAACAGTACTTAACATTCAAAATGATCTGGATGTAAGATGCTATAAAATGACAACTAGCCCCAAGTAGAAACATCATGCATCAGAAAACCAAACACATTAACTATGACACAGGGCATCATCAGTGAATAATAGTGTACTTCAAACAGAAGATTCAGAAGTTATCCAGAATAAACCGAACAGAAAACACAATAGGTTATGATAAAAATCCAGTCCTATTTCAATGGTTGACCAGATTCAGAAACAGCACAACTGTCCTGTTCCAATCCAATAAGCACCTCAGAAAAGGCAGGAATAGTCACACAGGAAGAATAAACATTTTAGGTGTCAGTCGAAGGAAGAAAGTGAGGCTATTTAGAACAAGCTTTAGAAACATACACCTCCTGTGTGTGTTTTTAACTCACTACAAATCTG